ATATATAAGGTTTTTAATAATGTATAGATCAAGTATACAAGTTTTTGTAAAGTTTAAAAATCATATGATGCTTTATTATTTAGTTTCAAATTAATATATAAAATATATTTTTTTAAATATCTATTAATTTGAATTAATGACATAATTTACATAAAAATATTTCTTGACCTACAAGCTTATTTAATTAAGAGTTAGCTTTGTAATAATTTAATACAAAGATAGAAATGAAAACAGATATGGTATATTTTAGAAGCACCAAGTCTAACTTATTTGTATGATATAAGTATAATTTTTTAAGTTTTGATACAGAATTCATGATGATAACTTATTTAAAAACATATTTTGCAATAAGACCATGTATCTAATAAGACATAAATTTATCTTTCAATAAATTTATAAGTTTCATTCTTTTTTAAGTCAACCTGCTTACCATTAAAAAAAACAAATGAATATATAATTTTAATACATTATAATAAGGGTTTAATAATAATACATATTAATAATGTAAAATAATTTTACGTCATTCAATCACAATTTATTATAAATTATAAATTATTAATTTTTATAATAATTATCTTCAAGTCATACAACTGTGATTTTTAATTGGTTTATTATATAAAAATTTTTAAACTAATAATACATCATCATTAAATTTGTTTAGGATTTAATTATAATAATAGTTTTGCATAATCATATAATTACGGTATATTATAAATGATAAGTTTGTTGACTTTTACAATATTATCTTAAATTATTATCTTAAAGTCATACAAATAATAATTTTTTAATTAATTGACTATTTAAAACTTTATATATTAATAATGCATCACTATTAAACTATATTTTAGAGTTTGATGATAATACACTAATAGTATGAAATAATTTTACATAGTTTTTTAATCATATCTATTATAAATAATAAATTTAATGACAATATATATAATAATAATAACAATTTAGAGCTTTAGAGTTTAAGGTTTAGGGTTTTAGTAATAACAGTCATAATATATAAGTTTATATTAACATCAAAGACTCACGTCAATAAAAGATAAATTCATCAATA